GGGCCCGTCCGGACCTTTTGCAAATTGAATTTTGAAGAACTGTTTTGTAGACAGAAATGACAAATAGGATGTTGTATTTTTATGATTTGAGAATACGTCGAACAATTTAATTCAAGAATAATTTTTTAGAATGAAAGCATTTAAAATGTGTTTAGTACCAATATCTAAAATGTCAAACAAAATATAAATCTGTGTTTGTTAGTAAGGGCGGAGGTGATATACTCGTGCTTTTGGTGACGATATACAAGTTGAATTCAGTTATTCAAATACTTATATTATTTGCATTAGGGTGCGAATAACATGTCAACTAAACTAATAAATATTTTGGTCACATTAAATTAAAAAAACAAATAAATATGAGAGCATGCGGAGTTTAGTGCACATTGATAGAGACTACAGAGACAAATAAAACGAGTATTGCGAATTGAGGCTATCTACAATACACATAAAAAATTGAAAGGTGTAAATTTTTATTTCAAATTTGATGGTTAAGGAGTCATTATCAATATTAATGTCATGTATCTCAGATTAAATGGTCTAGAGATCAATTTCTCTCCAACGCGCTTAAACAGTTGGAGTCATATATGAACTTGGAGTTATGTGCAAAGAAATATTTAATTATGCATTTTGGCTAAGCCATGTACAAGGCTAGGGTAGGCTCTAGCACAGGGAGGGTTTGAGGTTTTTAACATTAAAAATACTAATTAGTTCCACTATCATATGATTTATTTTAAAGAAAACTAATTAAAAGGGTTTGAAAATTTTGAGTTTTAACGATAATGACAAAATAAAGGGTAAAGTGAATGGTATCAGAATTGACTTTTTAATGTAAAAATGTGGTTTTTCGTTAAAATGAACAGTACCGGGAGCTTTTCGTTAAAGTTTTTTTTTTTTTATGATTCTAACCCACCCAACTAATGAAAAATCTGAATCCTAATTAGTTTTCTTTTAGAGAATATAAAACAATAAAAGTATTTTAAATGCTAAAAAACTAACCACTTTAACCAACAATACAAATTTATAGTATTAAGTTAAAACTTCATTGTCGTTTGACTTTCTATAGATTGTAACCTTTCACCACTCAATACACTCACTCATAAATTATGAAAGCTGTTTGTTAATTCAATACATAGTTATAGTTACAGACCTGACTAGACATTTTGAAGTCTAAAAAACAATAGCCTACACTTCTTGCCAAAGACAAAAGAGGCACCCAGACATAGACATATATTCTTTGACTCTTAGTCTGCAAGTTTATTGATGTCTCTTATCAATTAGTAAGTTCTTGAAATAGCTGCGAGTTTATTTGTTTATTGTTTGGATTTTAAGAGTTTATACTTGAAATTTTAATTATTTTAACTTAGTCCACCCACTAAAAAATTCCTGATTTCATTATTGGGCATTTAGTCGTATATGATTATGTATTTAACATCAAACATTATGTTTGATTCTTATTTGTTGTGCATCGAGGATGATATAACATTTGAAGTTAAATTTTACTTTGTGTAAATATAACTTTATAACTTTATAACTTTTAGTTTTTAACTATTAGATCACAGATAGCCTAAAGAGAATGAATGAGTTATTGATATGACTTCCGCACTTGACTCGGGATCATATATATATTTTTTTCCTTTTTTTATTATATATTTAATTCTGCATGTGTAAATTTACCTTACGTGCTCTCGATTCTAAGCATGGATAAAGAAAGAGGGGGAGTGGGTCATGTAGTCGGCAATTGATATTTTGTTCTTGGTCAAAACGAAATGACTTGGTTGTAGTTGTTATTTTATTTATTTGTTTTAATGACAAGGTTTTGTCTGCTCATATCATCCCTTGACTGATCAATTGTTATATGTTTAAATTAACCACTTCAAGTTTGGCATCTGCTCCATTTGAAAAATTAGATGATTAAGAACATATTTGGACCCGATTTTACACCATCGGTTTGAGTAATCTGGACCGTTGAATGAGCAGGATTTTAGACTGTTGAACGATAAAGTGGTTGAAATGATTTTCAATTATTATTGAGAAATAATATTGTGATTTTTATCATAATAATTATCTCTTAATAATATATTAAATTATCTAAAGCATAGTTGGGTAATAAAGTTGTGGTGATTTGATGCAATGTCGTGTGGTTTAAACTGCTGCAATTTTGTAGAAAGATAATATGACTATCATGAATGGAGTCAGAGTATGGCATGATTGTTATCAAGTTCAAAGACTAATCAGACAATGAAGAATGAATGCACGGATATACATGTGGAGTCAGAGTGTGGCATGATCGTTATCAAGTTCAAACTAATCAGATAATGAAGAATGAATGCACAGATATAAATGTGATGGAGTATAATGATTACATTTTTGGTAATGGCAAGGTGATGGAAGATAATGATTACATTTTTGGCTGCAATGGGTTTGCACTGATGAGACAAACAATAAGGGAGCATTCTATGGCTTCCACGTGGAAGATTAAATGCACATGTACATGAGAATTATCTCAAGGATAATTTCAAATACATTCAGATTAGCAATGTACGAGAGAAGGTCAGTGCTTCGATATGTTTGGCATCAGGATAGTATTCCACGAGTTAGATCCTACGATAGTACGACACATCAAGCAAGTTTTCTATAAATACATGGCATTTTGCATCATTCGGACTCTCTCCAATTCAACACACAAATTGCCCTGCTCAAACTCTCACTCTACGTAAAACCTCTCAACAACCTTGATATTTTTATTTTCTTTTTCCCCCTGACACATCTTTAGTTTTGATAAATAGCACTGTGAAAGCAACCGGTGAACATTTTCAGTTTGGATAAACAATACTATAGCCGTAGAACCATTTGACCGCAAAGTACCTTCAGTTTGGATAAACAACACTGCTCTGAGACCGACTGGTTACCTATCCAAGTCTCGATCAAGAAGGATTTTCGAGTCCTTATTGGCAGAGGTCATCTCATCAGCCTTCTCGGCGAAGTGAGGTATTACTAGGTTACTACATTCGGTACATTGAGAGCCGAATTTGATATTAAACTTCGCATAACTAGCAGCCTTGTCTTTAGGCTTTAGAACTCGAAGGCCGAGACGTGTTTCTTTCTCGGCTGTAGTTGCGAGATTCAGAAGTCAAGAGCGCCCAACACAACATCAACTCATTTTACTCACCGGCCGAGCTCGGTCGTCGAGTTGGCACGCCCCGCACACAACCGAATGACATAGTTAGTTTTTTAATTACTTGACCTGCACGTCATATAGGCTTGATAGTTTTTAGGATCAACAAAACAATATCTTGTGGACATGCATGATATCCATATGCAAATTGATCAAATAGAGTGAGCAAACATTGACCTTACCAAAAACCTTTGAAATTCCTTTGAACTTTGAAGAACTAAGCACATTAAATTTCTAATGTGGATTTTATGCACACGTATTATTAGTAGGGGTGTGATATCCACACACCTCTTTTTATTTCTCACACACCCTTCTAATTTTCGGCCGTTAGATCAGATGAATTAAAGAAGATCAACGGATAAAAATTAACAAAGGGTGTGTGGGAAATAAAAAGGGGTGTGTGGATAGCACATCCCTATTAGTATCGGATGGCACGTATCTGTATATATAAAGCTAGCAGGCTCCATTTGGGGTCACGGCTTCACCAAAAAGTTTTGGACAAAAATGCCCCTCAAACAAAAAAGTTCAAAAGTAGCCCAAAATAATGCAGGGGTATTTTCGTCACATAAACAGTGTTTTTAAATAATTAATTCTTTTTGTGCAGTTTTTTATTTTTTAATTTTTTTTATATACATTTTTTATAATTAATACCTCACAATAGGCACTTTGTTTATCATTTGTTTTTCTCGTTCATATTAATTAAGTAGATCGTCTTGGTTTGCACATAGTGGTCGTTTGATGCCCAACTAGACGCCAACTATAATAGCATTGTTGAGAATGAATTCCAGATTGATGAGAGAATGAATTTTGATTGAGTTTATAAAGAGTCGGGCTACTTCTCATAACCATGGTGTTTTTATATTCAGTTCAACCTTCAGTGAGTTGCATAAACTGAATGTAGGATTTTTTATGCAACTTTGGTGGTTGAATCGTGGTTTTCTAATTGTTGGTCTGAGAGTAATTCTCTACAAATCAGTTCAGATTTGCATTCGCTTGCCAATATGCCCTTCATTGTACATGTCATTCAAGATAGGAAAGTGAATTTTTTTTTAATATTTATTTATTTATTATTATTTGTATAGAGAAGGATTAGGCGAGGTTAGCTTTTTGCCAACAAATGTGTGTGAGGCACCAACCCTCCTCCAAAGATGAAAGGACCGTTGCACCCAGAAAATCCACTGCTTGTCCCCCTCTGCTAGATTTTATTAATAATATGAAGAAAAAACAAAAGTAAACCAAAGCCATATTTTCTGGATCAAGAATTCTTCAGCTTCAATCACTTACATTTTTTTTTGGGGTGTGCTATTCACAACCTTTTTTTACTTCTCACACACCTTTTGTTAATTTTTACCCTTTGATCTTCTTTAATTCAGTTGATCCAACGGCCGCAAATTAAGAGGGTGTGTATGAAGTAAAAAGGGATGTGTGGATAGCACACCCCTTTTTTTTTTTTGGCATAATTTCGCTGCTCATATTTCACTGCCAATATTCACCTCCTTATCATCAATCTACTCCTCATGAGCTCGAACGGAAGAATGGAAGCTCAACACAATCTCTTCTATAAAGACTCCTTAGCAAAATCTGGTATAAAATCCCACCACGTAAAATTACTATTCATCACACCAAAATGAGCAAAAACATCCGTCAAACTAGTAAGAAGTTAGAAATCAATGAAAGACTTGATGTTATTAGTAGTTAATGTGCATAACGGATCAGAGATCTCTTGAGACTTTGACATGTAACATAAAATTGTAGTTATTGTTGTAGCTTACACATAAGGAAAGCCTATGCAGCTTTTAAATGACGTCATCGCGCCTCTCTTTAGTTCACAGGCTAAAATCTCCAAGCCCTTTTAAATTTAATCTACTTCTTTCTTTATACATAGTTCAACTGCAAAAACTACGATATATAGGCCTACCAAAGAATTTGGTATGCTAATCGCTCAACAGCCGTAAACCAGGGCTTCAAACTAGTGTGTCATGGTTAAAGTTGGTATTATATTACAAACGGTCATAACGCCCAACTAGAGTACCCGCAATAATGCGAACGATGTGAATAACGATATTGATATCGAATATTGACGTCATATCAACAACTGTATCGTTCAAGTTATATCAACAACTTTATACTAATGTACCATTCGTTTATGACTTTATACTAATGTACCGTTCGTTCTCGCACTTCCATGGGAGGTCGAACTCGACATGCATGCATTTGTTAAGAGGGAAGCAGCACTGAGGCGTGAGGTGATGAAACAAAAGTTCAAGAGAGAGGAGAAAAGGTAGAGGCAGAGGTCGGGTCTTCGGGTTTTCCTTGATAAATCCAAAAGATTAAATTAGATCAACAACTTTGAAATTGTAAATCCCATCTTTCATGTCTGAAGTATCAGAAAATGGTTCACATCCTTGAGATTTGGAGGGGAACTGTTGCTGCTTCAAGCACTTCCTCCATAAGGTAAGCATGCTGAGGGCTCTCCAAATTACCGAGTTTCTTCAACAGATGCTGCTGACAGTTCTCAGCAGCCATAACTCCTGCGGAGTAAGCTCCGTGTACAGATCCTTGGTGGTCCATGCTAACAGCTTCCCCACCGAAAAAGAGATTACCCAAAGGTGCCCGAAGCCTCTCATATATATCTCCTGGCTTTCCAACCAAATCCAACGCGTAACATCCAAGAGAATTCAGGTCCGTTCCCCATCGTGATAACAGATATTGAACCTGTTAAATAGAGACCAGTAAAAGGTATGTCCACAAATTTTTTAATATGATTCGACTCCTGAACACCGGCATTGAGAAGAAATTTTATCCCGCTGGCTGATTGTTTTGGGACTGAGTCACTATTTTCAATTACATATGGTACAAACTTGAGAAAATAAAAAGATTGACCAATAACTGAGAAATATCTGGAAATGAAGAACTTACTGGCTCGGTGGCATCAGGTAACATCTTCTTAAGCTGCAACATCACAAAATTAACAGCAGCATCGTCAGTTAGTTTTTCAAGGTCATATGCAAATCTTCCAGCAGCCATGTAGACGAGGACCGGATGGCCTGTGGCCTTGTGAAGATTGAGAAAATAACCACATGCATAAGAATTTGGTGCAACAATGCCCAAGAGCTCTACATTTGGCCAGAAAATTTTCTCAAACCGTAGGGCAACTTTGTTTTCATTGCCCACACCGAGATCAGAAATTGCAGCAACCTTCCACTCAGGCAACTGGGGTACGAACTCAATCAACTTGGCTTTAAGAATCCCATGGGGTACTGTTATTATAGCAGCATCTGCAATGAAGTTTCTTCCGTCCTCAATTGTGACCATCACCTTGTTAGACCCATTTAATAACTTTGTCACCCTGATTATCAAGAATCGCAAAAATTAAAAACGTAGTCTTCCCTAAGAATGTGTGCACTTCTTAATTTACTTATCTTACATTTGAGAACTAAAGAAGCATAAGTTATTATAAGAAGTTGCACCCTAAATCTCAAAAAGGATACGTTCACAAAAGGATTGGTAATAGAGTAGAAGAAACCTAAATTTGTCGTTAAATAAACCATTGCAATAATCAAACTATCAACGTATTCTCTTGAAGTGAAGAGAGAAGAAAATACAAACTTTCGTATTATTCATCCATCCAGACTTAAAACTGCCATAACCAACATATGACACCATCTGAGCCTTGAGGCCGGGGCAGTCATACTGATATGCCATAGGCTTTTGTTTCGACTGTTTTAAAAGAGACTTATACCAGCTCTCTTCTTAGAGATAAGAGTTGTATTGATCGTAAGGTGTATTGGTAGAATAAAAAAATTCGAAGAAATTGTCTTGCATAGAAGACTCTAGTGTCAAATATCTCTTTGGAGAGCCAATACTGTAATAATATAGATTGCATATTTCAAAATTATATCCTATCTGTATCTGTTAGGACTGAAGATGGAGTGGAATTAGGCAAAACCAGCAAACCAGCCACCATATTCTAGTCATCACCCAGTAAATTCGAGCAAAGTTGAAGTACAACCCAAACTCAAAGAAGCCTGAGTCTTTGGAATTGTAGGCCCTAACGAAACTATATATATTCAAAATCTAATGTAAACCTTGGAAGCTATACACCAAAATGATAAAGCTAATCCATGCAACAAAGCTTGTCAAGGAATGAACAAGCTAATTTTATAATTTGAGAACCAATGGTGGCAGAAAGGTCTAGGAAGGAGGGGCATTAAGAAAAACATAACTAAGAACATCACAGCAAAGATTGAAAGTTCAGAATCCTATTTAATGTCTGTGACCTCAACAAAATGTATATATGTTGCTACCACAAGGGTATTATGCCAATTTTTTTGTTTGCAGAACTCACAATACACCCATGCCAACGTAAGTAAACGCATTTGTCAATTATGGTACATGCACACATACCTGTGATTCAAGCGTACATCAATATCTTTTGCAAGAGCCTTTATTATTGGGTCATACCCTTGCACCATAAGTCCATGACCACCGGATAGAACATGCTCCTGTATAACAAGTACCCTCAACTTGTAAGCCGTCATGAATAGATAACTCAAAGGTACCTAGACTTAAATGCATCATGATTACCCGGCCCAAACAATTCATTCCCCATTAAAGAGATCTCTCCCAAGGTACTTACCAAAGAGACATCAATTGTAAGAAGACCAGCCCACAAAGAGCAATTATTAAAGTTTAGATATTGAACTAACCTGATCCCAGTTTTTTAGTGATATTACATCTGCATCTGCGGCAAACCAGGCTTCCATTCGACATATGTACCATTGTAACACTTCGTGAGCAAGTCCGTTTTGTCTACATATGGTGGGAGTTAAATCAGTAAGACTAACAGATCAAACAATGAAGCATAATACAATAAAATGTGTCCTAATTTACTTTGTTTCTAATACCTTAATTCAGGATGCCTATCCATCACAACAGAAATTGCTTGAGAAACGGACATGTCATCGGTATGCTCATTCCTTACTTTCTCAGTCTAGAGAAATAAACCGATAAAATTTTGTTTGCAGATTGCATCAGAGCTAGATTCATAATTAACCAGAAAATCAAAGCACCCGGATTGCAGTTTAAAGATTCTACCTCTCTGAGAATTTTCTTGAAAGTATCACCAACTTCAACTACCATCTTTTGAGGAACTTGGTGGCCATCCGTATCAAAAAGAGCAAAGCTGGAAGGTAAAACAATAGTTCAGACTGAATATTAAAATTATTACAAAGGAAAATATCATGGTGTGATTCTGTGGAAAATAAAATTTTAAAGAATGCAAAAGATAAGGCCTGAATTCAATTTTTTTCCGCTACTTCAAAGATGAAAATTGCAAAAAACAAAATAGGAATTTAACGGAGTTATGTGAAACACTGAAAGTACTAATATCAGTTCTAATGACATCAAATGGAACTTTCCCAATGGTTTAAATCCTAAGATTAAATAAATCTTTATCAAGTAGGTAAAAGGAAGACACTTCTAGCTCTTAAAACTTGTGTGCAACACATTTACGAGCATAAATCTAAAGTACAGTCAGAAAAATAGTAACTTAATCAATGATATGATTACCTTTCCAAATCGTGGTCATACAACACAGAGTCATCGCCACTCGTACGGTATAGAGTAAGTCCTAGGCGGCGTATCAGTGGAGCCAAAGGATTCTCGTTGCAAACACCATGTAGCCTGAAATAAAATTGAAGACAGTATTAGTCTATTAGACTTTTAGTTTCAACCTAAGTTAATCTTCTTCAGTTCTTCAAATGCAATGCACAACTGGAAGCGACAGCGGCCTTTTAAAACCTCTAATTTTAACTTTTAGTAAAAAGGATTCCTTTCAACACTGAGAGAAGCATACACACTCCAAGACCCAATTTATAATAAAAGAAGCAGAGTTCATGCTGATGAATACAATAGACAAGGGAAGAATATAATAGATTTACTTAAATCCGCCCTAGTCCGCCTAGGCACCCGCCTAGTGCCTAGCGTCTTTTAGAACCTTGTTAGTGGCTAGAGAAAGAAAAGTTCTATCTTTGTTTAGTCCACACTAAACGAGCTTCTATGCTTAAAGGAATATGTAGAACTAATTTCCAAGAGTAACGCTCATAAACTAGGAAAAGCCACATTAAGTGTAAATTGTTTATTTCTTACCCTTTTCATGTTCATAGGATTCTATGCAATGGAACAGGAGATATTCTCAATCAAACAGCAGAAAGGATTCAAATACAGCATAGAGCATACAAATTAAACAATGAAACATAAACTAATGCCACGGGAACCAAATTAAACTAATCAAACAGCAGGAAATTTGTTCATTAACATGTACAGCTATATTAACCAACCAATTTGGTAACAAGAATGTAAAACTATAAAAAAAAAAAACAACAAAAAAAGGGAGGTCCTCAAATACTCAGAACTAAAAGCAATGAAGTTACCATGATGCTCCCATATCGACTGGACAACCAAATGAGTAGTCCGTATGAATCCGGCCACCAAGTCTGTCCCGTGATTCGAGCAAAAGCACCTGACAAAATGATGACATAAAGTTAAGACATTGCTGAAATCAAGCAAGATACAACAATTTTTCAATCATTCCTGAGGGGTCTAAACATATTCACATAGAGAGAGAGAGAGAGAGAGAGAGAGAGAGAGAGAGAGAGAGAGAGAGAGAGAGAGAGAGTACTAAAAGTTGCAGATCAGTGACCTTAAAAGATGCATCATGGAGAATACGTGCAGCAGCAATCCCTGATATCCCACCACCAATAACAATAACAGAAGGGCATGCATTCTGTTGCCTCTCAATGTGAGACGAAACAGAGCCTACTCAACACAAATATCACAATTTTCAGACCAAAAGCAACAAACTTTTTCAAAAATAACAGCCCAAGATTTCAAATGCAAATGCAAATTATACAAAGACAGAAAGCATACCATCAAATAATACAGCAGAGAATGGATCCTTCGGGTCCATTGGAATTGAAAAGAAAATTGGGAAACGAAAAGAATTGAATTGAATTGAATTTTTCAATTGAATGATTAATTCGAACAAAATTTGGAATTTGGAATTGTGGGTTTCAATTTTCAGGGTGTATAGGAATCTTGGAGACTAATTGGAAAGAATGACAAAGAATGAATATTAGAAGGCCTGCAATTATGCGGCTGAGATTTGAAGAAGAACAACTACAACGCAGCTTCTCAAACCAGCTCATGTCATTTATCATGTCACATATGCTCTCTCTCTCTCTCTCTCTTCTCTCTCTCCTCTCTCTATATCACAATTCGAAACGGAAAGAAGAAGAAGAAGAAGAAGAAGAAGAAGAAGAATCGTCTCTCTCACTTCTCTGCAACGATGGCAAGTAAAATTTTCAACCAGATGTTAATATGGCATGAATTCTGAATTCCCTTTTCGGTCAAGGGGGGATGAAGGCGACGAAAGAAACCCAAATCGCCAATTGCGATGGCCAATGGCCAATTGGGGGAATATTTTATGAATCTTCAAGCTCGGATCCAGCAGCGTCCAACTTGGACGCAAATGCTTATCAGCCGAAAGGATTGTAAAGTTTGTTATTAATTAATTTTTGTAGTTAAATTATTCACAGATATTTTTGCAAGATTTTCTTTTTAAATTATAAGTAACGGCCGACTCTCTGCACCCCCGCACGTGTCTGATTTACTCATGTATCATATTTTTATTTTTTCATGTAATTCTTGCTTCACTACCGTGGAGTAACGTGGTCTTCGTACTTTGCTACTTTTGAAAAAATTTCGTCTCAGTTTCGTACTTAAGCTTTGATTTTTTGACAATTTAATATCTTTATTGGGCTTTTTGTAAGTTCTGCATTAAGTGACGACATGACCTAACTTTAACCTACCATATTTGTTAAGAATTAACTAGACATAATGACTTAGATTTAGTGAGCCAAAGTTATATCACGTCAGAGAACTTGATGAAAAGTTTAATGAAAGTATTAAAGTGTTATAAAAGTCAAAATTTAGGTGTAAAACTGAAAAGAAAAATCAACGTCTAACAGAAGTATTAAAGTGCTAGGAAATCAAAGTTATTTTGACTCCTTTTTGGAGATACATATTGGCCAAGGCGGCCTCAAATTTGCATGATTCATGCATGTGGAGAATATATAAAAATCCAAAATTGTAGTACAAGTTGGAAGAGAAAAAGCCAAAAAGGAGGGAGGCGAGATTAAAAGTAGGCAAATAAATATTAGGGTTTGGTTGATTACGATATTAATCTTGATAACATATGTCATTTTAGCATAGAGCAAACAATAATTATATTTATACATCTTAGTGCGGATTTGAGAATTTGGATTGTTAAGTTAATGAACAATGTGCTTCTCTCTTAGTACTTACTACTCATTTGTTTCAAGTTCCAACCATATTTGCTCATGTTACTTATTGTTTCGAATCTAAACTATCTTGTCATATCGATGAGTTTCTATTTTGAATTCGTTTTTAGATTTAGTGAACTAGGAATGGATTGAATCTACATACATAACAGCTACGCTAAGTAGATCAGCTTAACGATAGTGGCAGCAATTGTGACATTAATAGTGAAGGTGACAAATAGGCTTGTAAATGTAACATCCCCCTAGGGTCGTTGTGAGAGTTTTCTTTTTTCTTTATAAGCTTTTGGTATCCTCTCTTTGTGAGAATTTGTAGTTTTAAGTTTTGTTTTGTTTTTTTTTGTTTTTTTTTTTTTTTGTTAGTGGTTTGTTTAATTAAATGTGTTGGCCTGCTAAGTCTATATTTGGCTATTGTATATGTGGTTGCATGAACACCTTACATCAACACAGCAACAACAACAATAATTAATAAGAATAATAATCTATACTGTTATATATTAAGAGAACTCTCTCTCCCAACCAATGTGATGCATAACAAGAGTCTCAAAGAAACAAAAGATAGATAATTTAGGAATCAATCAACTAAGAGCAACGAAGCTCGCTTGACGTCGTTAATTGTGGAGTCACTTGACACAACCAAGCCAATTGATTATAAGGAGAAAATGCTCTCTTCTTAAGATTATTATTTTTTAATTCACTATTTGACTGCCTTTAAAAAAAAATCAAAAGGAGCCCTTTATATAAGGAAATTACCTTACATTTTCTAGATTATTAACACCAATATTATGACTTGAGAATCACTCAACCAAAAGCAACAAAGCTCGCTCGATGACGTTAAATGTGGAGTCACCCGACACAATCAAGCCAATTGATTAAAAGAAGAAAACACTCTCTTCCTAAGATTAATTATTTTTTAAAGTTCACTATTTGACTGCTATTTTTAAAATTCAAACAGAGCCCTTTATATAAGGAAATTACCTTACATTTTCTACATTATTAATACTAATATATATTATACCTTGGAAATCACTCAACTAAAAGTAACGGAACTCGTTCGATGTCATTAATTGTAAAATTACCCAAGACCACCAAACTAAACCTTGATTGGAAGGAAAAAACACTCTTCTTAAGATTAATTTTTAAATCTTAATTTCAATAGGCCATGAAGAGATTTACATGGTAGAAGAGAAAAATTTGAGTGCAAAAAAAAGCTATTAATTTTAATTTTGAAAAAAAAAAATCAGTATTCATTCTTAGGAAAACTAATGAAATGATTTGAAAATTTTGAGTTTTAACGATAAGGACAAAATAAAGAGTAAAGTGAATAGTACCAGTGTCACATCTCGGCCCAAGCCCCCACCACATCCGGGCTCGACTCCACCGAAGCACGATATTGTCTGCTTTGGGCCCCAACCACGCCTTCACGGTTTTGTTTATGGGAACTCACACGAGAACTTCCCAGCGGGTCACCCATCATGGGATTGCTCTCGTCCGAACTGGCTTAACTTCAGAGTTCTGTAGGAACCCGAAGCCAGTGAGCTTCCAAAAGGCCTCATGCTAGGTAGAGATGAGAATATACATATAAGGCTTACAAGATCCTCACCCCTGGGCGATGTGGGATCTTACACTCCACCCCTTTTAGGGGCCCGACGTCCTCGTCGCTTTGGGCCCCTATCACACCCTCACGGTTTTGTTTATGGGAACTCACATGAGAACTTCTCAGTGGGTCACCCATCCAGGATTGATCTCGTCCGAACTCGCTTAACTTCGGAGTTCCTACGGAACCCAAAGCCAGTGAGTTTCCAAAAGGCCTCGTGCTCAGTAGAGATGAGAATATACATATAAGGCTTACAGTGAAACACCCCAACCCCATTTGTATTTAAAATTGTTAATTCATTGTATTTTAAATTCATAACCCTTATTTACTTCTTATTCTTAGCTTTTGTATCAATTAATGGTTTTCGTCACCCTCGGGTGTCGGCCAACACATGTCTATCCTGGTATTCGAGGAATATCAGGGTTGGGGCGTGTCAGATTGGTATCAGAGCGTGGTTTGTTCAGAGCATACTTAGGATCCTATTCAAATCTCGTTTTGTGTCGGTTATGACATTATTTGGATGTCATGACTTCCGAATTTGCTGTCTTTCAGCGCAATTGTGCAATTCTTTCTCTGTTTGAATTGTCACCTTCTGATTAAAATACAAGAACTCGTGTCGGGGTTATGCCTCCTAGGTGACGAATTGGTTTGCTGGACGACTTTCAACATCAGATCGATACTCTACAATATGCTTTCCAAGGAATTTCGGGCGGAATCGACATTAGAATGTTGGGAAACATAAAATCTTCGTGGTACGAGTTGGTCAAGACCAACTGGAAATCTGAATCGATGGTGTCACTCTGTGACATGCGTTACCTAGGAATGGCAGGCAAGGTCACATCTATGTGGAAACTACTTAAGACATTTGACATGCATGTTGGAGAAAACAAGTAAACGTTGGTTGTGACGAAATCTAGAAAGTGTTAGTTGGAATTTGAATCAAAATTCTTGAACTCGTTTCCACTGAGGAAATTCGTGTGGATCTTTGGTACAAGTCCTCGGCGGTTGTTCTATCGATATCTTTCTTGCTTACTCTAACGATGAAGTCAAGTTCCTTAACTGTTGACCGTCTGCTTTATATCAAATTCTTCGAGTGTTGACTTCGTTTACATTTATTTCTTTTCTTGGGAACTCCTTGGTAGCAGATTATGCTCAATCAATTTCCAAAAAGGAGTTGCGATTCTTGTTGTGGTTGTAATTGGACTTGGAAAATGAAGATTCAGTCTTGTTTGGATAAACAGATTCCTTGAAGTTCACCGAGTCTGGTACTTGGCGGAAAACCCTAGCTCCTTGTTCGTGTACTTTTCGATAGAGTTGGACTTAGCTTCTTGCTTGTAGCCCAACTGATCAGTACTCTTGTCCACTAAATGTTTAGCCTTGTAATTTTCAGTGTGATGGTTTGAGACTCTACCATATTCATCATTGTATGAAGATCGAGCTTTGCTCTAAACTTCTCTGGACTCATTGAGCCTTGGTTTGCTCAAGAGCATCACTTTAAGGTAGGCAATTGTGTCACTGCATGCATACACAAGCTGCTTCGTACCTTTCTTCTTTGTCACTCTGTTGATTCAGAGGTTCTATGTTTAAATTTTTGAACTTTTAAACAACTCTCATAAAGTGTTGTGAATTTCAAATTGTCTTTGGCCTTGTCAAATCTTATTATCAGTTCTTAAATATTCCTGAGTTTGGACCTATTTCCTTTTTGACTAAGAAACTAGTTGACCATACTGTGATGATTTACAAAATAATCATAAACAGTGACTTATATTTCTGCATCTTTACCTTCCTTCGCTTGTTTGTTTCTCAATGTGAACTGGATCATGCGGGAAGATTATACAGAGGGTGTAAAAAAAAAATAAAAAAAAACATTTATTCTCGGCATGGTTTCTAGTTCAAATCTCGATATCTTGTACTCTGGATTGTAATGGACTTGTTTTGACCCTCAAATTCTTGAGTGTTCTTTCAGCCTTTCCGACATGATTTCTCGCTCAATTAGTGAGGAATTCATGATTAATCGATTCGACGAAAGTGTGCGCCCAACTCTTATTGTTTCTGACAGGAACATTAGAAACAGAACCTTTTCACAAGTTTATCAGACTTATCAGGAAGAGTTCCACGTGGGTATGAGATTTGAGCCGTCTTTTGGTAAAAGTTTGGTGAAGATTGTAGTGCGGGTGATCAACAGATTGCATCAGTATCTTCAGACTGAATTGTTTGATCACCATCTTACTACAATTCATAGGCATCACATCGGTATCTCAAGGTACGGTTACCAAGTGAGTTCCTCGTTGACAAAATTTTGAAGCTGCTGGTCACATTTAGAGGAACTGAGAAGAATAGAATCCTTGGTGCTAGTTAGAGTTCTGACGACGACCGTTTTTGTTTCGTTTGGTTTGGGGTACGACACTTTTGCGACATGGTACGAGAGTTTTCCACGGGCCACATTGGTTGTTAGAGGAGTTGTGTGCGCTTGTATTCGGAGGATCGAATTTACGACGTGTGAAATTATTCATCCTCAAGAAATTACTCCTTGCTTATCGAGAACAAATGTGTGATCAATATCACGGGCGGCCGACCGGTATATCGATAGCTTATTTGTTGGGTTCGTTAAGCAAGTGGGCAAGAAGATTTGTCTACAGCAGCTAATGCAGATTCAGAATTGTTATTTTTGGGACTCTAATCAAAGACTCATGTTCTCGAAGTGCGTGACATTTCGTATGCTTAGGCGAGACCCACTCTCATTTTTCAGTTTTGGTTTTCAGTGTAAGTATTTTAACTTCATTTACTCTAGTTAATTGTTTTGACGTTACATATGTTTTGGAGAAAATATTTTCTTTTCAGTTTTAAGTTGATTCGAGTTTTTGATATATATGTTAGTACATATCTATTTTGACGTTATCTTGCCTTAAATTATTCTGTGTTTTTGACTTTATATTTTATTAAAGTATGTTTTCTATTTTTACACTGATGGGGAAAGAAAGTATGAGCCTGGAGGCACGGAATATGGAATCATTGCAACCCGATCGCGACAGGATGACATTTTTCCTTTTGTGCAACCGCTCTGACTTGATTTCTTCGTTACGTATATATATGTGTATCCTTTTTCGTATTTTCGAGTTTTTCAGTGTAGTATGTTATTTTAAATTTCGGGGACGAAATTCTTTTAAGGGAGGTAGATTGAAACACCCCAACCCCATTTGTATTTAAAAATTGTTAATTCATTGTATTTTAAATTCATAACCCTTATTTACTTCTTATTCTTAGCTTTTGTATCAATTAATGTCTTTTGTCACCTTCGGGTGTCAGCCAACACATGTCTATTCTGGTATTCAGGGAATATCAGGGTCGGAGCGTGTCATACAGGATTCTCACCTCTGGGCGATGTGAGATCTTACAACTAGAATTGACTTTTAGTGTAAAAATATGATTTTTCTAAAATAAACAGTACCGAAATTTTTTTTTGTTAAAGTTGCATTGTTTCTTTCCATTTATTTTCCAAAAGCCCATGTCATTCGCAGCCGCATTCCGATCCATTGCAGCGAAAGCGTTGAGGTTTGCCAAAAGTTCTCTGCAGGTGGGAGATGGAGCAAGGAGAAGGAAATCTCCAACGGCTTTTGAAATGGGCATCAGAAATTGGAATATCAGAGTCAACCAGTTGCCAAGCTTCGTGTTTGGGCCACTCTCTCGCCGTCTCCTTCTTTCCTGATTCCGGCGGGTATGCAATTTCTGCACTAACGTCCACACTCTCTCCTCTCCTCTCCTCTCTGTAAATTCACCAACTTTCTGCTCTCACAACAACTCACAGAAAAAATGTTGCAGAAGAGGTCTGGGTGCTGCTCGTGATCTTACAGAAGGAGAGTTGATTCTCAAAGTTCCAAAGTCCGCTTTGATGACAAGCACAAGTCTTGCAATGAAGGATGACAAACTCTCTCGTGCTCTCAATGCTCATCACTCTCTCTCCCCTACCCAGGTTTTTTTTTTACTCGATTTTTTGAATTTTTGATAACCCAATTGTTTGTTTTTGCTGAATTGAAAAACCCAATTGTTTGTTTTGGTCAAATTAAATTCCTTTATTGTTTTCATACTATGCAGATATTGGCTGTTTGTTTACTATATGAAATGGGGAAAGGGAAGAGTTCATGGTGGCACCCTTACCTGGTGAATTTGCCGCACAGCTACGACATTCTAGCAACTTTTGGTGAATTTGAGAAGCAAGCTCTGCAAGTTCAGTTGTATTCTGCTTACTTACTTTTCTGTGTTTTTCCCTTTGTTGTTGGGATTTAGGAGCTAAAATATTTTTCTTTTGCAATATTTATAGGTGGATGATGCTATATGGGCTGCTGAAAAGGCCACATTGAAGGCTGAGGATGATTGGAAAGAAGCTAATGCGCTCATGGAACAACTTAAGCTCAAGCCTCAACTTCGGACATTTCAGGCATGGCTTTGGGCTTCCGCAACTGTGAGTATACACTCTTTCCCGGGTTTGAGAACTATCATGGTGCTTAGGGTTTGAGATAATTGTTTGAATGAATTAATTTTTCGTTTAACCATTCTGTTATATCAGTAAGTTTGTTTTAGGTATCTTGTAGTTTCGGCATTGCCTGTGTACAAAGGAGCAACTATATTTGGGTTTCAGAGTTTTCTAAAAATGAGTACACAGACATAAAGTTCCCCACCTTTTTCTTTTAATGAAAGATGAAAGACGTTAATAGGGTGTCAAAGATTACATTTTGGATTATTGTATATGATTTGGGAACCTTTCACATTGATAAATCACAGATTCCCCGATGAGTTTTGGCTTTTTTTTTTTAAAACCCAAAACAAGAACAATAGGAAATCATATGTTTCCCAATTTAGTGGTGCATTAAACTAAGAAGCATTGAACAGCTACTTCTTTCGCATCCAACCACAAAGTAATTGACCAAGGATCTAATACCTTATGATGCTCGGCTTAGGTTTCTCGATGTGAATTCTATACTCTGGAAGTAAACTCATGTAGCTAACTGTCTGCTAAATGGAAGTCTAGCTTATTCAAAATATCCACAGCTGATGTAAGGGTTTACATATATATACAGGAAATCTTTAAGGGAAGGGATCTCCATTTTTTTTATAAAAATGGGTATTAGTTATGGGGTCCACACTACATCGAACTTTAACGATACGAACCGTCTATTTTTCAAGTTGCACCTCATAGATCATCCATGCAAAATATTAGCCAAATCGTAAATGTTTAAGACATCTAATTGGGTTCAAAGAAATTAACAAATACTTTGTTATATAAGAAACAATGAAATTTTATCTTGATAATTAAATAAACAAATGGTTTTGGATTGAATTGAATTTTTGCAAGGATGATCTATGTATCGAGACTTACAAAATAGACGGTTCGGATTGTTGAAGTTCGATGTGGAGTGAGCCCCACACCTAATCCCCATTTTTTGAAAAAAATGGGGATCCCTTTGCATAAAGGGCCTGTACACACATATATATATATATGTATATATGTACATTATACATATGAGTTTCCATTGTCTAACGCTAGTTTCAGAATTCATTTAACATTCTTGGCACATTGTCCATATCAGAAATAAATTGATTTGTGCACAAAGGAGCAACTGTATTAGGAATTCAGAGTTTTCTAAAATGAGAACACAGACATTAGTGTATCCATAATGTAATGCAAACTGTGTATTTCTCTATTCTAGTTTTGTTTCTTTGTTTTCCTCGGCCTCTCTTTAATTTTATTTTCTCTGTTCTCTCTCAGTTCACAACAAGAAATCTGTATGTTTCACGTCATTTACAATATTCAATGTGACATCTTATTTGTTAGATCGATCAGTTTCACTTATATATCACTGACTGAGTTATCCACATTATTAAATCACATGTTTCACAGTGTACAGTTTTGTTGGTTTAATGAATTGTTTTTTTGTACTGTCTTGTAATGGTTGGACCTTCTGGTCTTTTTAATTAATATTCCAATGTTTCAAATTGTTAAATTGTTATCTTATTTAAAGATATCCTCAAGGACGTTGCATATACCATGGGATGCAGCTGGGTGCTTATGTCCTGTTGGAGACTTATTTAATTATTCTGCACCTGGAGAAGAGCCTTCGGCTTGTGAAAGTATGGAGCATGCAACGCTTGACTTGGTGAATGATGATAGTTCTGGTACACTGGACGTGGACGTTTCTGATTCACGAAGATTAACTGACGGAGGGTTTGAGAAGGATATTGACGCCTATTGCTTCTATGCTAAGAAAAGCTACAAAAAAGGGGAGCAGGTAATTTGTTCTTTTTGTCTCCTTTTAAAGATATCATTTATTGCTGCATGATAGCTTCCAGGTACCAGTTTTGTGGGCAATATCTTACTACATTGAAATATTTACATTTCTCTTCCAGTTTCAACTAATCTCCTAAAGTGCTTTACATTTTTACATTTGTGACATAGTTTGACTTTGATTGGCAAATTTGAGGTTATTTATTAGGTTAACCTATCTTTGTTTCTTCAAGATATTCACTAAACCTTGATATTTACTTTTACAGTATTTGTGGTAGATGGTGAACCACCTTGGTAAAGAGTTTATGATTGATTTGATGTAGACCATAAGGTGGGTGTTGCCATTTGTTATGGTGTAGAAGATAGCCTAAAATTGAGCAATCAGACAACCTGTAGGCTATGTTTTGTGTATGGGACTTTGAAGTTCCAAGGTATTGAGGCCAAGCAAGGAATGGATCACAAAATGTTAATAGGAGGCATTAGAAATGCACCACATGAGCAGTAAAGGTATATGAGAGGAATCTGTAAATGACGACTTGGAAGGACTTGTTTACAAATCCCTCATACATGCCTTTGCAATGCTCATGAACTGCATTTCAAACTCCGCTATACACGTTTTGTGTTTCATTCCTTACTAACTTGGCCTCAATCCCTTTGGAGTTTGGAAATCCCTCACCCAACCACAGAGAAAAGAAGTAAAATAAAATTCGGAGTTTGCTAGTGGTCTGGAGTTGGCATGGAAAACCAGAGTTTAATGGTTGGAAAAGGTGAAAATGGAAATCGTAAAAAGAAGAAAAGCTTGGAAGATGAAGTCGTGCTTTTGGTGATGGTTGAATAGAGAATCTGGTGTGGATGCTTTGGTTTTCATTTTGATGAGATTTTTAATTTTTAATTTCCAATTATACGTTGCAGTAGTAGTCTGGCTGCAGGTGCTTTGGAATATCCAGGATATGGTTTGGGATAGTAGTGCTGTTCTGCATTAGCTAGTTAACTAGGCTGTCCTTCTGATTCTATGTAGTGCTGTTGTGAAAAAAGATAAAAATGTTTATAGCCGTATTATTCCAGTGTTTGTTTTATAACTTTATGAGTGCATATTACTTCAACTTTGTTATGACTTCCTTGTATAGGATTACTGGGATCCATTTGTTTTCATTACGTTATTTTTAGGTCTTGAATTGGATATTTTAAAACCGATACTTGTTTATTGTATGCAGGCCCTTTTAAGCTACGGAACATACACGAATCTGGAGCTTCTTGAGCACTATGGCTTTCTCTTAAATGGAAACCCAAATGACAAAGTTTTTATTCCCTTGGAACCTGAAATATATTCGTCCTGTTCATGGCCTAAAGAGTCATTGTATATACATCAGAGCGGGAAACCATCTTTTGCTCTACTGTCTGCCTTGCGATTATGGGCGACCCCACAGAACCAGCGAAGGTCTGTTGGACACCTTGTTTATTCAGGACTCCAACTCTCAATTCAAAATGAGATGTATGTCATGACATGGACATCGAAGAAGTGCAACACTATTTTGAAGAGTCTGCCGACATCTTTTGAAGATGATCGTTTGTTATCAAGTGCCATTGACAAAATCCAAAATCTCGAGTCCCCTTTGGAGCTCAATCATTTGTCATCCACTTGTAGAGATGAGATTTGTGCCTTCAAATCTAATGTTGCGCAGAAGGGAGAAAGAAGCAGTATGCAGTCAAGGGAGAGGTGGAGATTAGCTGTGGAGTGGAGGTTCAGTTATAAGAAGATCCTGGTTGATTGCATTTCTTATTGTGATGAAACTGTAAGTTATCTATTTCATGAAAACAACTCGGTCCAAAAATGAAAATCTTCTGCCTTTCTTTTTTTCATTTATTTGTTTTGATGTGGTTAAGAGAATACATCCACATTGGGGAATTCAGGTGAAATACTGGGTATGAGGCGAAACCTTATGCAGCGGTTGATCAAATTCAAACAATTAGTCACATAGAAAACTAGTCCTTATGAATGGGGATCCTCTCCTGAGGATTCTCAAATAGTATCCGTTCATCTACATCATGCAGCCAGTTTTCCGATCCACTCCTAACGATTCTCAAGTAATGTAATGTCTGTTTATCGTACTCGTGCGGCCAATTTTCGTCCAAGTGCTATTCATATTTAATTTTAAATAAAAATATTTAAGCTGAGGTAGGAAAGGTTCGCTGTTTTAAGGTTTGCTGTTATTGATGCAGTGTCAAATAAGTACTGTGATATGGGAAGGCTCTAGAGTTCGGTTTCTCATCTTATTGAGGACCGAAAAGTTGAAGGCGAAGATGGGGATGGAAAAATGGGCTTGTTAATCCATTTTAATTCTCACTCTTGTTAATTCTTTTCCTATTAATTTTTTTTAATTTATTTCATCCGACGATTAAAAATTAGAAAAATATGTGATTACAATGCTACCATTTATTTTGAAAGACTAAAATTTTACATATTGTTTCCGATATGATTGACATCCACATTGCAGTCTTCATGATTGCAACCAAATCAAACCCATCAAAAGGTCCATAGGAAGATTAAGAAAACATAACTAAACCAAAATACAATGTCAAACGTTACAACCCAAACTCCAAAAACAAGATTGATATTAGTCGAGTTTTGGACAAAAACTGGACAAAATCTTAAGAAAAATTAAAGAAGATGGATCAGATACACCTGGCTTGGTGGTCTCTGTGCAATACAGAGATGTAATTCGCTCAGTTATTTCAGCTTCGATCATTTGGGGAAATAATCATCACTTCCATCTTTTCTTTTTCTTTTTTCAACAACAATATCATAAAACAAACACTAAATTCTAAAACAAACAAGAAATTTAGAAGGAAAAAATAAAAAAGATAGTGGATTTTGGGGATTTGGGAAAGATCAGAGTTCTGGCTTGGAAATTAAAAATAGCGCAAGTTTGAATCAGCTTCGATCATATGGGGAAAGTAGCATCACTTCAATCCCAAATCCACCCCCATATCAAAAACCCTAATTTCAACACAAAATTAGGAAAAACACCCCAAATAAACAAAGAATAAATAAAAAGACGAAAACTTTGTCCGAATCTGCGAGAGAACAAACAACAAGAAGGCCCTCAACTATTCACAGAACCCGTATGACTATGGCGTCGGCTCATACTCAGCGCCCAATGTTATGACGGCGATGGTAATCAGTTTATTCGACGCCCTTTCACAAACCCTAACCCTAACCCTAATGTAGAAGTAATCCTACATCCTAACAATATAACGACGCAGGCGGAAGGCGGATGGCGGATGGCGGAAGGCGGATGGCGGAAGGCGGAAGGCGGAACGAGATGAGTAAGTTGTTGGAAGGACTGGAATTTATAGGCCCTCGCGAACTGCTTCGAAACCCTAATTTCCTTTAGCTTGTAGCGGGGAATGCCAGGTGTACGGCTGATCTTTTGTGTCTTTCCATCAGCGGTCGGTGTCGGCCTATTGGATTTTGTGTCCCTTTTTTCTCCTCCATTTCATCGGGCTGTGGCTTTGAAAAGAAAAGCCCAAACAATAAATTTAGTTTCAAGTTTTGCGCATATGGGCTCGTTTGTAATACCCAAGTATTTTCATTGCAAATGACGTTTTACTGCAGCGGCGAAACGCAATAGGATAAATGACGTTTTATCGTAATGAGAGTATTTTTGCTCACCAACATAAACTATGGTATATGCTTTCCATCATATTTATGATCGTTAGATGAGTTTGAATTTCGAGATTCGTGTAGTGGATAGGCACGAATCTCAAAATTCAAACTCATTTAACCGTGATAAATAGGACGATAAACATTACCACCACTTAAGGATAGTGAGCAAAAATGCACTCGCCCGCAATACCAAAAGTATTGCCCTTTTACAAATATTACACAGAAACGAACGAATTTTATTAGTTATGTATCGTGGAGAGACCATCGTTCGAGATTCTTTCTTGTGCCAACCAATGCAAGAAGAAACAAAGAAGGAAAGAATGATACCAGTAAATTACGTGAGAGAGAAACACCTACTTTTCAAAACCAGAATATCTTCACTTACAGAAATCACATTCTTTCCTTTTGCAAAAAATGTTCAGATTTCTAAAGCGCTTGACGAAACCAAAAGCAATCTGCAACAATGAACAAGCCAGATGCATCGCATACATCGTACGTAATGAATTCCGAAAGCCGCCTATAAATGCAGAAAAATGAGCTGAGCAACCCTCAAACTGCTTCATCTTTTAAGCATTTGAAACCTTTGCCTCTTTAAAAACAAATATATTTTACACAAAAATGGCTTCTGCAGCGGCCATCAAACGCTCCGATTCCATAGCTGATACCATGCCGGACGCCCTGAGGCAGAGCCGATACCACATGAAGCGGTGCTTTGCAAAGTACATCGAGCAAGGAAGAAGGATCATGAAGCTTCACCATTTGATGAGTGAAATGGAGACAGTCATCGATGACAAGGCTGAAAGAACCCAAGTTTTGGGGGGTGTTCTTGGCTATATATTGTGTTCAACTCAGGTTTCTAATTAAACACTTCTTTATATATATATATATATGTTCTTTCATTTTGGGGGACTAACTAGAATTTTTAACTGTTAGACCATTAGTTAATTAAAAATACAATGACTAAAATTTAATGGTTAAAAACTCTAGGGTATAGGATACTCCAGAGCATCATAGAATTTTCGTTAAACAAATAATTATTGGTTTTACTTTTGACTTGATGAGATGTTTACTTAATATAATCCACAGGAAGCTGTTGTTGTTCCTCCACATGTTGTCTTTTCAATAAGACTAAATCCAGGATATTGGGAATTCGTTAAGGTCAGCTCTGAGGATCTCTCAGTTGAGGCTATCACTGTCCGAGACTTCTTGAAATACAAAGAAGCCTTATATGATGAGAAATGGTACATGTTTTTTCCCTTCTTAAAGTTTTTTTCTTTTTCACAACACGATATTCTAAACTACTCAAATCTACGAGGAGCGAGATTTGATTTTGGGTGCAAGGGATGACGATGAACACACTACCTTTGCTAACTACCAACCGGCCTAACCCCCCGTATGCTTTTCATTGCAGGTCAAATGACGAACATGTATTGGAGGTGGATTTTAGAGCAATTGATTTCTCTACTCCTCACTTGACTCTATCTTCCTCGATCGGAAATGGAATCGAATATGTTACCAAGTTCACCACTTCAAAGCTAGCTGGAAAACTGGAGAATGCACAACCCCTTGTGGATTATTTACTTTCACTAAACCATCAAGGAGAAGTATGGGAATCACAGCAATTTAATTCTACAAAAAATAAAATTTGATGAGGAGAATTCAAATTTCATTCTAATGATAAGGTCTGAAACATAGTTTATGTGATTTTGAATTTACAGCAACTTATTCTAAATGAGACCCTCAACACAGCTTCGAAGCTTCAGGCGGCTCTGATTGTAACAGAAGTGTACCTCTCAACACTTCCTAAGGACACACCATTCCAAAATTTTGAGCTAAGGTGACTCTTCCTCTCATGTTCTATCTGCCGCTGTCATGTAATGTAACTTGCAATCTAAAACCGAGCGTCATTTACAGGTTTAAGGAGTGGGGCTTTGAGAAGGGGTGGGGAGACACTGCAGAAAGAACAAAGGAGACAATGAAAATACTTTCAGAAGTACTTCAAGCTCCAGACCCGTTGAACATGGATAGGTTTTTCAGTAGGCTTCCCATAATATTCAATGTTGTAATATTCTCTCCCCATGGCTACTTTGGCCAAGCAGATGTTCTTGGCTTACCAGACACAGGCGGGCAGGTATTAATTTGAATACTACATCCGATATGCTAAGTCTCTTTGCAAATGGAATTCGTTACTGAGACGAAATTTTTTGAATCTGCTATCGAAAACAGGTAGTTTACATTCTGGATCAAGTGAAAGCTATGGAGGAAGAATTGACTCTGAGAATTAAGCAACAAGGACTTACTGTGAAGCCTCAAATTCTTGTGGTATGTTTCATATACAACTATGGACGATTTACTAGGAAGTTGGAAGGTAGTTCGGTTTATTTAGCATTATCTAACCACTGGCTACAATAGGTGACAAGACTCATACCCGAAGCAAGGGGAACTAAGTGCAACCAGGAGTTGGAACCAATCTATGGCACCAAGTACTCTAACATCCTTAGGGTGCCATTTAGGACAGAAAAGGGTATCCTGCGCCGTTGGGTTTCTCGTTTTGACATCTATCCCTATCTTGAGTTGTTTACACAGGCATGTTTTCCGTCGATATTTATTTTCATACTTTTAGAGTGCTCAATTATTTATTTGTTCCTTACGTACTTTCTGTTCTAAAATAATTGTTCCATTTGTTTCAAACTACTAGGATGCTACTGCCAAAATCCTCGACCTGATGGAAGGAAAGCCGGATCTTATTATTGGAAACTACACAGATGGCAATTTGGTGGCGTCTCTCATGGCTAATAAACTTGGGATAACTCAGGTCACTGTTAATTTATCTTATAGATACAACCGTAACACATTTTTCTCCCACTTTGTATTTACTAACCCGTAGCGCGTTAAAACCAGGCAACTATTGCTCATGCTTTGGAGAAGACCAAGTACGAAAATTCAGACATCAACTGGAAGGAGTTAGATCCCAAGTATCACTTCTCATGCCAATTTCTTGCTGACACAATCTCAATGAATGCTACAGATTTTGTCATTGCAAGCACATACCAGGAAATTGCAGGAAGGTTAGCAAAATTAACCAGCATTCATATATTCGACACCCTTACCAAATGATTACATTACAGTTTACACCATAATGTACTTGGATGTTGTTTTGCAGCAAAGACAGACCAGGACAATACGAAAGTCATACTGCATTTACACTCCCGGGGCTCTGTAGAGTTGTTTCTGGCATCAATGTATTTGACCCCAAATTCAACATTGCCGCTCCTGGGGCAGATCAGTCTGTATATTTCCCCTACTCAGACAAGCAGAAACGGCTCACTTCATTCTATCCTGCCATTGAAGAACTACTGTTTAGTAAAGAGGATAACAGTGAACATCTGTAAGTCCTGGACTAGCAAATCATTCTTTTAGAATTCAAATGCTGATCAAAAGTAATCTAACGTCAACCTGAACCATTTTCTTGAACAGTGGATTTCTAGTAGACCGGAAGAAACCTATCATCTTCTCAATGGCAAGGCTGGATATTGTTAAAAACATTACCGGGTTGGTTGAGTGGTACGGGAAGAACAAGAGGCTGAGAAATTTGGTTAATCTTGTGGTAGTTGGTGGATTCTTTGACCCTTCAAAGTCAAAAGATAGAGAAGAAATCGCTGAAATAAAAAAGATGCATACACTGATAGAGAAGTACCAACTCAGGGGTCAGATCAGATGGATAGCAGCACAGACTGATAGGAACCGAAATGGAGAGCTCTACCGTTGCATTGCTGACACAAGGGGAGCTTTTGTGCAACCTGCCCTGTATGAAGCTTTCGGTCTGACTGTCATTGAGGCAATGAACTGTGGATTGCCCACCTTTGCAACCAACCAAGGAGGCCCGGCTGAAATCATCATTGATGGGGTCTCTGGTTTCCATATTGATCCTAACAACGGTGATGAAGCAAGCAACAAAATCGCTGATTTCTTCGAGAACTCTAAGACTGATGCAGCATACTGGGACAGATTTTCCAAAGCAGGCTTGCAGCGCATATACGAATGGTAAACACACAACCTCTGCATCCATACTTGTTTGCTTAAAAACCAACATCTTTTCCCATGGAACTTAAAACAAGTTATCAAAACTTTGTAGCTACACTTGGAAGATATATGCAAACAAGGTGTTGAACATGGGGAGCACTTATACTTTCTGGAGGCAGTTGAACAAAGAGCAGAAACAGGCAAAGCAAAGATACATCCAGATGTTCTTTAATCTCCAATATAAGAACTTGGTATGTTACAGATTATGCTTATACATAGGATGCACCCCGTATCTATTTCTCATTCTATTAAGCTCGA